ACAGCCTGGAAAAGGAGCGCTAGCTCACTGCTTAGTGACCTTGTGACCTTGAACAAGTACAACAACTCAGAGAGCGTGGCAGCTTGAGATGCTTGCTAGGTGACCACCTGGATCCACTTGCTGAGTGGAAGTGGGAGAAAAGCTGTAATAGAGAGATGGGTTGAGTCTGGCCACTGGCACCCATGGACCTGGTTTCTAGGAACTAGAGAAGACAAGAGCAGGTTGACTGGTCTGAAGTTCATGAACTAGCACAAGGGGTCTAGGGTTCTTGAGAACTTGTGATGGTGGTCTAAGGCAAGGCGACCAATGGGCACCCTGGTGAGGCTAAGTGAGGCAGCACATTGAGTTCACCAGAACCTGACCAGATGAAGAGAATATTTTTCAGCCTGTGAACTGGTCCATATTGCTACTGACTTTATGGATGGCCTGTCCTGATTTGACTTTGCTTATGGATGCAGACTTCACAAGTTCCAAATGGAATGAAGATTCTTCACATCAAGGAATATAATTGTCTCCTCAGAGCACTGGGTTGATATAAGTGGGCAGTGTAGAAATTGGATACCTAAAATTGGGGGGGATAAAGGCATGAAGTGGTTGGCTTACAAACTTTCATAGGTGGAATATATCCATAGGACTATAAGATTAAGGTGTAGGTGTTCACATAAGTATAGAATATTTTTGTTTTGTTCACTGATAGAATGTGATATTTAAATGAGGGTGGCACAATTTTAATTGTATGCATTTTAGTTTTATCCTATTAGGTACAGATATGATTTTATTATTGTTTATTTGAAAATTACATGTGGTTAAAGAGTTATGTGAAAGTGTCAAATTGACAAGGGTTGTTCTGTGGTAGTTATATAATCTGGTGTCAATTTGAGGATTCATAGTGAAAGGGTGGAGTCAAGCCTGTCAATCAGGTCGTAGCTTGATGACCTCATTTGGAGGCACCAAGGAGATAACTAGCTCACTGGAGGCGGGACACATGCTCACTCCCTGGGAGACATCCTTGTGGAGAAGACACATGGAGAGAGGCTGATGGAGCCAGACCTCTGGAGCCAGAGAAGCCACATGGAGACCCGTGCCTGTGCTTACAATGCCACTGGATCCACAAGACTTCCAGTGGCCCATGATCTTCCTGCAGTCGATGTCATTGCATGTGTTTTGTGAGTCTGAAGAGGACTTTATAGATCGGTATTGGACATATGGGCTAATATTGGACTTATGGACTTGATCTGGACTGGGCTGGGATATTTTCTCAATATCCAACTGCTCTTGTATAGAAAGCTCTTGCTTATACACAGATGAGTCTCTCTGGATTTGTTTCTCTAGTCTTCCCGGACTAACACTCTCAGTTTCCTCAGCTATGAAATGGGTACCCATATCTGTCTGGATTCGAGTCTAGGTCACTCCAGCAGGTACTTTCTGACACCACAGTGCTTAACGAAGTTCTCTCGGGGAGGACCGTGTAAGGTCATTTTTGTAAATGTGATCTGTACACTGTCCAGCACTGTGCAGATGAAGCAGATTCTTATCCGTCTTTCATCAAATCCAGCTAGAAAAATGGCCAAGAACAAGAAAACAAGGCAGACAAATCTGAAACACAGCATCTCTGATACCTAGGTCATTACCCTATGCTTGGTAATCAGGTGGTTAATAAGTACAAAACACAGGTTTCTGCTTTCACCATACTGAGCCTAATATGAGGAAGGAAGAGAATGACCTAAAGCCAAGGGTCATGTGCTCCAATCATACAAAGTATAATGAGCCTTAAGAGCGTAAACTTTAAAGTGCTCGATATGAAAAAGCATTCAAATGTAACCCACCATCTGCAAGGAACTACAGACTTACCTCTTCAGTTTTTCAGCTGCAGCCAGGTAACAATACAGGTACCTGGTGGGGCTCCACACCTGATAGAGTCGTCTCTTTGTCCCACCATTCTTTCCAGGAAATACATTCTATTGAATGTTGGCTGCATAGACTTTCTCTTGTGCATCTGGAAGCCTGATTCTCAGTAATATCCTGATTTGCAAGCACACCAGATTGACTCCCCCCACTGCCACCCACCAGCACTACCACCATCATGCAGAGACACACTCAGAAGATTGAAGGGCTGGCTGCCTAGGGAAGCAGTTATTGACTTCCTAAGACCCTTCTCCACAGGCTTCCTTTGTGTCTCAGATAACAGAAAAGGTGGTTCTAATGCAAACCCTTCAAATTATGACTGACAACTTCCAACAGCAGCCATTTGTAAAATGAGGCAAGCCCATACGGGGACATAGCACACTTCAGAGGAAAAAATGTTTTCTGCTGGGTGGGGCCTTGGACTATCTTCCCACCCACCACCCCCTTTCTAAATGTGTTTTTTATGCTGGTTCCCATTTCTAAAACAGGAGGCCTCGCCCTCCGCTCCGTTACTGTTAGAATGCAAGGCGTTTGTTTCAGGGCCACGGAAACGCACAGGGTTAGAAAAACATTTTCCCTTGGACACTTACTTGCCTCTGATCCCGCGCAATCTTTCCTATGGACCCTTTTTCTAGGTGGCCCTGAGGCTATCGGGTGGAACTGACTAGTATAACCATTTTGTGCGGTAAAGCTTAACTTCTTCCGAATTCCAGACTACCCAACCCCCTCCCCCGCCTCCCCTCCGCATATTCATTGCCATAGCGTTGATTCCCTACTCCGGGCGCACTATAGGGAAGAGCAGAATTGCGACGATCTTTATGGGACCAGTAGGATACAGCTCTCTCACGCAGACCTGCCACCTTTCAGTTAGCGGCCCACATCATTTAACTACTGCCCCCCACGGCTCCTCAGAGACCACCCAGAACATGCCCAATCTTTGACAAATCCGTACATTTCCTTGACGGACTAGGAATGGGAGGGAGAAGAAATGGTCGGAAAGATAAAAGAAGAAAATCTCTTTTCCTCCTACCAAAGATGTTGGTTCGTGGCAGGGGCAGGACCAGACAATTAGGTACAAAGAAGACCTGGACCAAGTTAGGTCATTCAAAATGTGCCAAACCGTTCTGTGAGGAAGCATTTTGTCAGGAGCTCTCGCTCCCATACCGATCTGTCCTGAGGGTGGGGAGCTTGCTTGCTGGGCTACTGCTGGGGATCGGGAATCCAGGAGGGGGTAGGGAGGGGGTTCAGCACAACCAGGAGAGGCTCCTAGACAGCAGGCCCTGGCTCACTCCCTGCTCCCAGTCGCACTCCCCACCCGCCCTATCCAGCTGTGTTCTCACATATTAGGTGCTCAATTAATGCTTGTGCAACGCAGGAAATGAAAAATCCAAATCCACCCTGGGGCCCCGGGCGGTGGAAGCCAACCGTCCGGAACAGACGTTTATTCAGACCCACTGTCACCTCGCGTTGGCTGCGGTCCCCTGGGCCTGGGCTGCTAAGACCCCAGCCTCGGGAGAACAAGCCGGGAGGCGAGCTAGCTGCTGGAGCCAAGATGGAGAGAGAGGCGGCGAGAACAGGAGAG